GCACTATTTGGGCTAACTTGAGGGTACAAACAGATAAACACAATGAGAGTTTTAGTAGTATATAGATTAAAACTTTGATAAATAAAAGTGAAAGTTAAAAATTTTTACAAGACAAACCCTACAGAAAGAAATATCAGTCTCCCAGCACCACCTTCTGGCAGAAAACGTGTAGCTCAAGACAAGGAAGCTTACTCAAAAAATAAACAACATATTCCTAGAACTCACTGCTTGTAGGTACTAACTGACAAGGAAAGTTTAGCTCAATTTTCTTCCTATGACATTTATAACTATTTTGGCTTTGTATTTTTGTCAAATGATGAACACCTTTTTGTAGATCACTTAATCTGAAAAATCTCAAGTTGATCAAATAGATTGTGTATATGGGAAACAGTATTTAATGCCAATATTTGCAAAACAAGATATTGCCATATTGCATATTTTTTTTACTCAATGCAGGCTTGTAATGTCAATGTGCAAAAGTATTGTTTTCCACTGACTATCAGCAAGAGTTCAAAGAGTGAGGGTCTCAACTTGATCCTTAACTCTGAGTTAGAATTTTATAAATCAATATATTTTATTCTCCTGCCCTCTGACCTTCGGAATATAGAAATATGCCTCTACTCACCTTTAAACAATTACCCACTATATACACAGTGGCATATATATTTCCTAATACTTCAGTACCATCAAAATGTGTTAAGGAGGCTTGGCTCTGTACATTGGAATTGCAATTCTTCTGTTTTTAAAATAGGCAGCAGTTTACAATGAGGTATCAGGATCAAACATATCTGAGGACATCAGATTTTTAAAAACTCGTCTTGTTTCTATGCAATAGCTGGCACAGAGAAGCTTAGAAAATAAACTTATTCCAAAGACAGTCATCAAACTATCAGAGGAACAGAGGAAACTGTATTCAGTGTTCAGAGAGCACAATATAACATCCCAAACCATGGGGGGCTTCCCAATTAGCCTTTTAATAAACCATCAGCCTGCTCCATTTAGTGGGGGCGAGGGCAGATGGGGAAGAGTCCAAACATCACCATATTTACTTGAACTCATGCTCTCTACTACGGGCTCTCCTTTCCACAAATCTAGTTAAAGAGAAATATGAAGGATAATTGCAAGGTGCTGTTTGATTATACCACCTGGAGTTCATTATCTGAAAAAAAATTCAGAGTGGGTTTATATATTACGGTAAGCCATAGATTATTTAACCACAGCTTACTGAATAAACCATAGCGAGTTCACCCAACACATGAAGCCAAAATCGAGCTACGGGTTGGGCCCACATCTCAGTAACTTGTTCTTTACTGTAGTTCTGAAGGAGGTAAGAAAACCCAACATATAGCAAGTTAGGCCAAGCTAAGCTGGAGCCAAACTGGTCTTCTGTTATTTCTTCTTAGCCGCCACAGCCGACTTGCCCTCAGTCTGAACCAGGAACTGTTGGACTGCCAGGCTGCTGCAGAAGCCAGAGCTAACAAGACCGGAGATGATCAACAACGCAACACACACACACGGGCTCTGCCGAGTAGGACCTATTCCCAAGCTGCTTAAAAAATTGCAGCCTCTCAGGTAAATCCATTTTGCAATGTTTCCACTGGAATTGTGGAAAGAGAACCGAGCTGGGGACCCCCACGGGTTCTGATCGGTCATAGCAGAATATCCCGCCAACGGGAGCACCGTCCAGCAGGATCTTATCGTCCCTCACCCCGAAAAACGGGGCCACCCGCCAACGGCGGGGGCGGAGGCCCTTTTGCAGCCGGAGGGGAAGAGAACCGGAAAAGCCAAGTCAAGCCACGCCGCTTGCAGGCGCGCAAATCAGGGTAGGTTCGACTCCTCACGCCCCCCTCTCCCCCCGGCCGGGTTACCTCCATCGCGGCGCTGATCCCGGCGGAGGTAGGGAAAGAAGGGGCGCCCCACGCCTCTCCGGCAGCTCTGGAGCCGCTTCCGCC